TTGTGTAAAGAAATATTGACAGATCTCAGTATGAGGTTGACAATTTATGAATTAATGGTTTGAAATCGGTTTTCTTAATTTTTTCTTTAATATTTTGATAATGTTATGTCTAATATAATTCGTGGTTGTAAGCAAACAAGAAGATTATATATATATATTTATAAATTGGTTGTAAGCAAACAAGAAGATTATATATATACAAGAAAGAGGTTAAAAGAAGATTTTTTTATATTCAGAAGAACTACGATACAATATGTTCTTATTTATATTAATTATGTTTTGACACGGTGTCTCTGTAATTATATCACCATGCTGGTTACTCGTGGTGCAATTTGTTCTCCCAAACGCAGTGGATACACGCCTTTAGGAAACAAGCATGTTGGCACATGCTCTGATTAGGAGATGACTTGGTGTGATTGATAAATATATTCAAAACCCACTTCAGTGTTCAAATTAGCGCCATGGATAAAGAAAAAAGCTGTAGGTAGAAGATGAGTTTTCAAGATCAATGAGGTTTTGTAGATTCAGACACATGGATTCTGATGACTAACGACCTTCGGAAAGCATAAATGTCCCAAGGGTTTATCTCGTGTGTCAAAGCAGTCGTAAGAAGGAGACATATAGGCATGTTTGACAAGGGATATTACTCACTCCAATGCATATGTCATTAAAAGATGGAAATAGACAGTAGGGCCATATAATCTTTATTTTTTTTATTCTTGAAAACAATTTCCTGTAAATCTTATCTTTATGTACAAAATTGTCATTGTTTTTGCAGACTTTGTGAAAAATGAAGTTTTTTTTCTCTCTTCTTTATTTTTTATTTGAGTTTTAACTTGGTGTCTGCGGATAATATACAGCAACAGATTACACACACGTCACATTTCTAGCATTAATGACAGACTTGAGAATCCTGTGTATTTTCCTAGACGTTACTGATGTGTATATATCATTTATATATAATATTGAGCTACATTTGACTACACTCTTTACTTAAACTGGTTCGCAGTTGTGGTTTATTCGGGGTACACTTACGTTCTAGCTCTACACATTCTAGCTCAGACCTTGAATTCATCCAAATTTATGGAAAAAACGAGTGCTGCATTTTTTTTTATTATTTTATCTATATGCAAAAGAAAGAAAATATAAACAAAAACGTGTTAGATTACATGTCAAGTGCTTTTCCGTGTTGAAGTAGATGCCATATTTTTTTTTAATTCAACGAGTATGTCAATAAAAGCTTAGCATAGAAAAATATGTCAACAAAAGGATTTAAAATTGGCTGTTATTGATTACATGCATAACTGACGCCTGTGTTTCCGTTGATGTTTACCTTCTAATAATTTGAGAACGTGACATTATTTGTATGGTATCACTTACTCTTCCGGAACACCTGGTCTTGTTTGCTTTGGTTTTTTTTTCCGGATGTTTATTTCGTTCAGATAGAAAAAAGTAAAAATATCGGAATTTATTTATTTTCATCCATGATATTACCATGTTTTTTATTCGTAACCGGTGTCCATGCCGGTCTATTCTATTAAATATATATGTATATATATATGTGTCGCATAATGACCCGGTACGGTATCGGAGCGTTTAGATGTCAATCGATTCTTTCGTTTTCATTTTGACCGAAACCGGAAGTCAAAAATTCAATTAGAATACCCAAATGATCATCAATGGAAAGGACTTTGATTACTACAGCGTGCTATTCCACCGAATTATCTTTGAAGTTATCACCGTATCTGCCTGATCAAGTTATATTTTCCCCCTTTTATGTCCACGCACTGAAATAGCTTCCAGAAAAATCATGACCATCTTAGCCGACGTGCAAACTACTAATGTAACGTAGGCCAGCATTACACATAAATGACGTCACTTTATTCTCGTGTGGTCTAGAATGTATAGTCTCGTCAATGCAATCTTGATAAGCATTTATTTAATGGGAGGCCATAACGCCCAATGTAAAAATCTTTAATTACAGGACTCGAAACAAAATACTGGTATCTTTGATACAAAAAGGTCATCATAGAACGTTTTCACATCATTTTGATGACATGACAATGATTTTTAGATATTTTTGTCACTGAGGTTTGGATGAATGGTTATCGTACGCTGCCATTTTCGTTGAAATATAACACACTTGTGTATTTATTGCGCTTTACGATAAAACGAACACGATTGTTTCGATAACGTGTCATCAATCGATTATAGCTGTACACAGCATTACTGTTATGACAACCTTATCATAGCATGTGTTTCGTCTATCGGAAATCACCATGGCTTTTACGCTATCAGTAATAACTGTAAAATTTAGAAATATTCTCCGTAGTTTTTTGTTTTTTTTTTTTTACCAAAGATGAAACACTGTTCAATAGAATGCTTTTATCTATCAACATTTTAGAAAAAAAATACCAAATTAATTCAAATAATGGGTCTTGCAGAATTCGAAAACTTCTAAATTTTAAAAGATCGATAAAAAAAATCAACAAGCTTTCGGTATTCTAAACAACAACTATTTGTACGATAGGTCAATCTGGATTTCACTTCCCAGTAGACACATGCGACTAATAACCTTGTCCTGGTCAGATAATATGCCGTGCGGTTGTCAATTAGCCCGTCCGGATCCGAGTCCACTGTGACCACATCTGGCCTGGTCATTTGATCTCTAAAATCTTTCCCAAGAGACCGGAAGCCCCCCTCACAACCATGACAGACAGTCGTTTGACCTGAGATGCAATCCCATCCCCTTCGAGCCTGTCACTGAGTATATGTATAAGGCAATCATTGAATTACATTGTTAATCATAAGATATTATCAGATAGTTGACAAGCACGACAGTGGTCAAACTTGACACGATAAACAACTATTCCTGATGATGTAAATACGCTGACATTTTCAATAGAATGGGAACGCCGGAGCTTTGGTAATTTTGACAGAACGGAAACAAGCTGTTTGTTTCTGAGGTCAAGTAATATTCTGTTCTGGACATTTCTAGGAGAATTATATGTAAATGACAAACGTTAAATAGTCGAAAATTCGAGTTGTTGTTGACATCACCAGAGTGAGTAAATCTAAGTTATATAGGTGTTTATTATTATTATTATTTCTGTTTTTATTTTGACCGCATTCTTGTTTATAATAATTGCTGTTCTAAACATCAAAGGGATGTCAATGTTATACCTGATACATAAGCTTTACGGCAATATGTTTCTGCACATTTCCTGCACCTCCGTTATATTACGTTTTCCTTCAGCTAGAACCTTTTCCAAAATTCATTTACTGGTACCATTTATAGAAAAAGATGTAGAAATCGTTTTCTCAATATGGAATAAATATAAGATACAATAGCATAAATGAAAATTATTTTCAACTGTCCGATCAAATCATTATATCATATTGTAATACGCAGACTTAGTCGTTTTTGTTTCAAGCATGTTTATGTGTTATTCGAAGATGAGTACCAGTCGTTGCTTTGATAAATCATCCAAAGAACTACATGTATGGGATTCAGTCTTGCTTTGTTAGATTGATCTTCTGGAAAATCACAGCGGAGGAAAAATATTCCACTGAGGAACCTTTGTGCATGTTTTATCTAAAACGGATATAAAGAGAACGGTAAGGCTTTTCGGTAGATATCAATGGCAATTCATCCTGCAAGTATTGCTGCCATTGTCGGAATACACGTGCTACATACACGTTTATTTTTGCTGTATCTGGCAGTGACAGAAAACAGTTGTATTGCAGCACGTGCATTAATTCGGAAGGATTACATCATGGCATAATTAAATATGTAAAAAAAAAATTGATAACTATTGAAATAAACGATTACGTTTGTTGCAAATAAAAACTTGTTTTCGAAAGTTTATGAAATTGCTCTTTATATCCACTGAAGAGTGTAACTATATTTTTACGCGGAGCATTTATTTGACGTGTGTCAACAGGCACAATTCAGGGAAACGTCAGCGTGAGGTAAACACAGACTGAATATGTCTGACAAATTGTTGAAGTTTCGATAGTCTGAAAAAGACAACATACAGTTTTTCTGAAGACACAGACCATGTATTCTCTATATACTGTCACAGCCAACCCAGCAGAAATGAAGAGGAACAATTGTTTACTTTAGCTTCGCGATGAAATACATCGAAACGTGACAAACATATCTTTAGCAGTTCCTATACGTGACCAGACAGAGTATATACCACGGATCAGTTTCAGAACTATGTTTTCATAAATATTAATCTTTCCTCGTTGACATTTCTGAATTAGCAATAAGAAGGAGTAAGATAGGTAATGAAGCTCATTCATTTCTTATGTTCTTTGATATATTCTCAATTGTTTTGAATTGCAGTGCAACATTATATATAAGATATTATATTCGGAAACGACTGGTCCTTTGATAGATCCGCACGGATTACCTCTGGAGATATTGTGTCCTTTTGTGTTATTTTGACATGAATATAGCACATTTTAAGCACTAAGTGACCTGTATTATATGAACTGTACGCTATATCAGTAAAATCCATTCAAATAATTCACTTCGTGTGAACTTTGGAGATACGACCTATCATTAAGCTGTCAAATGATAATGAAATGACACTATAGAGATCTCCGGATGATATCATGGCGTCATATTGGAGACGATGGGTGCTGAGATAAGATTTACTTGAAGATTTTTGTGAAACATGAGAAAAAATGACAATGTAACACAATAAATTTGGATTCATTTTAAATGAGATTCTCGAATTTTTCCTTTTTCATAGCAAAAACAAAAATCGTGTTATGAAACATGTTACATAAATTTATAGAAATCGCATGACAATGTATAATAAAACAATCATTTCAAAATAACAAATTTTAATAAAACTGTCAAATTTATTTCCACGGCAATGTAGTTCGTGTGTCTGGCGCTATCTGATTATTCAGTTCTTCAGAACCTAACAGTATAATTTTTTGTCGTTTACAGGTAATATTATGAAGTGATAGCTGAGCAGGGAATCATGGATTTTTACAAATGGTGTAGCGTATTGTGCCAGCTATGGTTGCTTCCATCTTGGATAACAACGAAGACATTACCGGAAGTGGTTGGGGAAAATGTTACATCACAATTAGATATTCTTGAAACCTCTTCTGATTTAACAACCATATCAAATTCCAATGTGACTGAAAATTATGAGACAATATCTTCTGCTACAACAGTCATTTCTTCCAAGACGACAACTCTGTCGAGGAATACAAAAATAGTAAATCCGGACTCGAAAATTAGTCCTTCACTACGGGATTTTACGACAAAACCATCATTCCGAGAAGAAAACATAACAGCTGTTATTGATAAAACATCAGAAAATAAATCTTCTTTTGGTGGTTATACGACGGTGCCGCCGTCTGACAACAGCAGTGTTGTAACTGAAACAAGTCAAAATGTGTCAGTCAAAATAACGAATGTTACCGAGGGACAGAAACGTGATAACATGACTAATGAATTAGAGGGTTTCCGGGAGACTACGTCGGTGATTTACACAACCGTAGAAATAGACAAAAATAGCACCTCGGTAAACATTACCACACCCTTGAATATTAAGGACTTCTCCAAAACCACACCATATATGGAGAGTGAGAATGACACTTCAGCTAATGGTTCATCGTCTATTTCTCCTCTGTCGAGTACCAACTCAATGTCGAAAACGGATGTGACGTCATCTAGTAAGAAAAAGAAACCATTTGTATGGACAACTCCCCATCCCAATGTCATACGACATATGTGGTTAGCCAAGCGAGCCAGAAGCCGGACACATACCGGTTCACTTCATCATCTTAGTCTAGGTATGTTTCACACACGTGCTAAATTGCATTATCTCAAAACGTAAGTGCCACATCCGAGTTTTTTTTCGGCGTTTAATTGTAACAACGCCACCGTACGTTTTATTCACTATTTCAAATACTCATAACCCCTTTATATTGCCTTTTTCGTGAAAAAAACGTAGTATAACTGTTTTTAATGAAACTGTCTGGTTTTTGGAATTGTTAAAAGCAGCATAAAAATAACATCATAAAACGCATTGACAATAAGAGCGCTGTCACATGAACGAAGTGGCGTTATATCGATATGTCAATGTTAAGAAACCACTATATCGTAGTAACTGCCGAGTACCGTTCATGCGTATTCCATACTGCCCACTTATATTGTCAAGGTTGAGTTCGAAACTTCATTTAAACGACCAAATATATCTCGTTTCCCATTATCATATGTTTTAAAAATATGTTTAGGGCTCTGGAATTAACGAAATTGAAATAAAGTGATTCTTCATCACTTTTTAAGTTATCCTCTCCGTCAGTCTACGTCACGTGCAGGCGTTTACGTACAATGTAACATCATAATATATTCACGTTGTTTCGCGTTCCATTCAATGCGGGTCATCAAACACCAACTGCTAAAAAGTTATCAAATGAATGAGGAATCCAGCGACAATATATTGGATGAAAAAAATAGGGTCGGGACAATTCGCTGAGTGTTCAGTACACGAGTTTTCAGGAAATCCAATTTCTATAGGAGTGGTAGAAAAAAACAATATGTAAAACCCTGTCCTAGTTATAGATTCCTTACTGAGAAGTTACATTGTCGAATAACCTGGATACCAGTATACTGGTAAATCAGTAAATCATTAAGTCTGCATGGCCTTGACGAGAAGCTCGCCCTGATAGATCACAGAGTTTGTATTTACGAAGACCTGTTTGTCAATTATTACGTTTATCAGATGCATGCAGGAGGTGTATTTAAAGATATATGGATAAAAATACACACACGAGACGTATCTTTCGGTTTTATCTGAACTGCTTATATAAGTAATTTTGTCAGTTGTAACCGTGTCAGTGCGATAATATATATATATATATATATATATATATATATATATATAACCAATTATGGTTTGTCATGAATCGTTACTATGGAAACTCATATAATTGGACGCACGTTGTGGTAAATTGTTTAAAATTCATTGTATTACACAAATAAGTTATTCAGATTTTAGATATCGCTCCATTATCTTTTAAATGGAATTTCAATAAATTTTGTTTCAGAAATATTCTAACCATCAATTTAATAAAATCTTCGCAGAATGGGCACGATTTCGCTGTAAAACAATATTCGAAGAATTGCCTATGTTTTTATGTTGTGTATACAGAAACCTACTGCTGATCAATTACCTTTGCCAGTAGAATTAATGTCTGAACAATATTTTATCCAATTAGTTTTTTTGACCATGAATTCTGATATTCGAAAGGAGAATTTTATATCATGTATACCAGTTCGCTTTTCTGGGCACTTCATTTTCACTTATAACTACCAGGAGAATAATTGCATTCATTATGTAATGAATACTATTTCATCAATGTTACATTGACACTTCTCCAAGACTCTACTCCGATAATGGAAACATGCTTTAGATTATTTCCAACAGGCATTTTACAGTAGAAAGTTCAATGTGTTTTTATGAATATATATGGAGAAAACTTTGACACTATCAAATTATTTTCCAAAACTACAACAACGCCAATGAATACCGGTATGTGTTTCGGAGCCAATTTTATCGGGTACCAGGTTTTCCGGTCAAGGAGAACATTTGTATAAAGATATCTAATCAGAAGGGCAGACAGAACCTTGGTGTTCTGGAAATAGAATAAAACCGTTCCTTTTAATCCATAGTTTTATGACGAAAGTCTGGAAATAGGAATCACTCCAAGGATTTCATGAAGTAGGAATTCGGCAGACTGGCTGTATATTGACATGTGATGCTGGTGTAAGCTGTGGAGTGATGCATTATAAAACTTATTTTTAGATTTCTTAATTTCAACTCTCTTTCTGTTTACCACATAGTCCTCTGTGAATCATAAATATACGCCGTTTTGTAAGGAATAACATCAAGCTCCCTTCGTGACCTTTCTAAGTCTACTTATCAGTTACATAAGTACTGAGTCATATATTATTTCTGTTTCCCGGCGTATCTGGTTTTTTCCCTTTTTATCAGTTACCCTGGCAAGCAACTGTTCTTTAAAAATTATTACATTCCAGTCCTCAATGAAATCTGTTTCCGGGAAAGAGGGGGAACATATCGCAACACTGGTCACAAAAATATGGTTGATAGAAAATAAATTGCGATCGATCGTTCATCATTTCCTATACGTTCGATCGCCATGGTCATCTTGTCACGCGTCCCTTATGGATTATGTTGACCTTTGCAGTTGTCCAGGCGCTGTTACTTATATAACGTTATTGACCGGTCAAATCATTCCAGCGAGGAAGACGCCCATTTTCGCAATCACTAATACAATTTACAGTGATCACGTAAATAAACCAACTGTCCGATTTTATGTAATTATGTCCCTTCCTGTCACTGACATCTTTACAAATCTTATTATTTTGACAAAATTCATGTAAAATTCGTTTAATTTACGGCTAAATTATAACGCGGACGATGATTGAATTGACGACCAAGGACCGAGGAGACCGCTTTGGCGTTACGCGTCCGGATTATAGGCTATGGGGTCGAGCAATTTTCTACGGCAATAGGATTTATATTATGTCAGAAAAATGTTTCATCTAAACATCATTAGGAAAGCCCACATATTCGCATGGTACAGTTACCTTATACGTAGTAATGTCTGATAGAAGCGATAATTGATGGTCTACTGCAGAAATATATTTTTTTTCAATATCCAATATGAAAAAAGACAAACAAACAAACAAACAAATATCAATAAAAAAAATTAATAACGTAATTACTATTGGTTAATCAATTCAGTAAGTAATCGCCCGCTCATATTGAAAATACTATCTCGGATTGTGTCTTTGAGATGGTTACAAGTTGACACTTCTAATACTACTGCTATCATAATAATGTCACTGTCCTATGTTATCATGTCAAGGTGCTGACATTTCAGTAAGACAACCCCTTAATAGGACCCCTAATGTTCTCGTTCATCAGACTTCAAACATCGTAAGTCAGTGACCTTTATTGTGTCGTGGAACAAACAAAGCGATGTTCTTGGAACAGCTCATTCCGATTAGAGGCGTCTAACACAGGAAACGAGAATATCAATAAAAAGTCAGACGCAGAGAAGAAATCATGGAATGTATTTTTTTTTAAATCTTAAAATCATATATCTTTGATACACGGCATATCGTCATGTCTTAATTATCTTCTACCGCCAGCTATATTTTCAAGGTTGTTCTCGGTCAACGCCATTTTGAAATTCGCGAGGATCAAAATATTACATAAAATTGCCCTGGAAGAATTCAAGTAAGTAAGTCTGACCATTTATATAAACATCAAGGTAAATTTGAATTATCGTAGCCTTTGCTTAAGGACGATCACATATGCCTGTATGTTGTAATGCCTCACGATAGCTAAGAGTCTATATTGTGCCTATTAATGATGTAAAATAACATGTTAAAGTAAACAGGTAATACCAAACCTGATTGAAATGTTTTAGTAAGAATATGGCTACAAACCAAAACAACAAACAAACCATCAGTGCCTTGACCAAAAACCCTGAAACTCATACTTGTCGAAGATAATTTGGTGCTAAATACGCATATTAAGTTTGATGAGAATCTCCCAGGGAATGAAGCGTCTAGAGTGCTGACAAAATCTTTCACTGAGTGCTGTAATACCCCCCTCCGACGCAGGGACTGACGAAGAGGAGTGCTGTAATACCCCCTCCGACGCAGGGACTGACGAAGAAGAGTGTTGTAGTCCCCCCTCCGACGCAGGGACTGACGAAGAAGAGTACTGTAGTCCCCCTCCGACGCAAGGACTGACGAAGAGGAGTGCTGTAATACCCCCTCCGACGCAAGGATTGACGAAGAGGAGTGCTGTAGTCCCCCCTCCGACGCAAGGACTGACGAAGTTGAGTGCTGCAATACCCCCTCCGACGCAAGGATTGACGAAGAGGAGTGCTGCAATACCCCATCCGACGCAGGGACTGACGAAGAGGAGTGCTGTAATACCCCCTCCGACACAAGGATTGACGAAGAGGAGTGCTGTAATACCCCCTCCGACACAAGGACTGACGAAGAGGAGTGCTGTAATACCCCCTCCGACGCAGGGACTGACGAAGAAGAGTGTTGTAGTCCCCCCTCCGACGCAAGGATTGACGAAGAGGAGTACTGTAATACCCCCTCTGTCGCAGGGACTGACGGAGATGAGTGCTGTAGTATCCCCCTCCGACGCAGAGACTGACGAAGAAGAGTACTGTAGTCCCACGCTGCCTGTTTCACCGATAGAGGACTATCAAAATGTGTATATAAATGCTGTGTGGTCTTTAATACCTATACGTGTATAATAATTACAGAGATTTGTGATGAAAAATGCATTAAAACGATACCGAGAAGAAAATAAATTGAACTTATCTTCACCCAACAGGTACGCGAAGCCAATACAAAATTAACATATCTTTGGTAAGTTTTCCGATTTTGAGTCTGTAAATGTAGTTTGGATTCTCTTATTCATATGCTAATGCAGGGAAAAGGAGTAATTGGAAAAGAATTGCTTTGTTGCTGCTGAAGAAAATTGAATGTCAGCGGCTCCGATCTTGTCAAATATTTGCATGTCGTAATACAAGGATCGGCCGCTAGGCGTGTATATCCTATATTTACAATGTACACGTAAGGCGTCAAGCTTCTGTAGAGATCAAAATCTTGTTATTATCGTTTTGATTTTTTTAAGGGGTAGGGGGATGGGGAAATTTGTTGTGGAAAATATTACAATAACAGGTAGCGTTTTTCGTATATTTGATAAATCATACGAACTTTTAAAGAAGAA